ACTAGATAGATAGAATCTCAGATTTTGCTCATAAAGGTCTTTCTTTGGACATGATAAGGTTCTCTCATGTTACAGTGGGTAATTTTCTTAAAAAACACTCAACTGATTAAAGATGTTAATCCTATCTACTAAACACTTTGATAGCAATGCCTGTGTTAGTGTTTGGTTAAATAACTGTATCTTGTCATCTAGCCAAGCTGACACAGAAAACACACACCCTAGGTCCGAACTACTTGGGAGGTTGAAGCTTCCTGGCTGCTGAAGTGGGCGGGGGGGGCTTTGGCTCAGGCCTTGGAGAGCAGCTTGGACATAATGACACCTGGTTTCAAAAAAGAAGATAAAACAAAAACCAAACTGAGCAGCACATTATTGTTCCAAGCCATGTCTTAATGAGTCTCCAGGGCAGAGACTTTCAGTCTTGGAATAAAACCTCCACCTATAGTTTGTACACACACTAAATGAAATTGTACACTATTTTTCATTCTTGTTCTTTAAAAAATATGCTGATTGGGGGGCTGGGGATGTGGCTCAAGCCATAGCGCGCTCGCCTGGCAAGCGTGTGGCCCGGGTTCGATCCTCAGCACCACATACAAACAAAGATGTTGTGTCCGCCGAAAACTAAAAAATAAATATTAAAATTCTGTCTCTCTCTCGCAAAAAAAAAATATGCTGATTGGGACTCAATAAATTTTCTTTTCTTTTTTTTTTAATGTTTTTGTATTTGTAGATGGACAGAATGCCTTTATTTTATTTGTTTATTTTTATGTGGTGCTGAGGATCGAACCCAGTGCCTCACACATGACAGGCAAGCGCTCTGCCACTGAGCTACAGCCTCAGCCCCTCAATACATTTTCATAGGTCTGAGCAGCATGTGGAAAACATGGCTGACACGTGTACTTGGAATTGCCAGCTGTAGGGTCACCCTCCTTTTGCTTTCCTGCTCCCTGTCATTCCTGCCCACAGCGCAAACCCCTTTCATCTCTGTGGATGGCCCTGGGTGATTTCAGTTTCCCTGGGTCCTCTGGTTGTTCTTGGTAGGGCTCTGTTCATGTTCTGTGGTTTTTAGCACTTGATTGTCTACTTCAGACAGACAACAACTGCAGCATACACCAGTTTCTATGACATTGTTCCCTTTTCATTGTATTTATAGTTTTCAGTTTACATATAGAAAGACTGACCTACTTTTGGTGTATAGTCCATGTCCAGAAGATTAGCTCTGCTTGCCCTGACCCTCCTGCACCTCTGTCCTGGAACCTTGGCCTGCCCTCTGTCTAGTTGGACCCTTTCAGAGTGTCCTGTGAATGGATGGATGTAAAAGTAACCCACGAGGAGGCTTGCCATCACCAGGATGGTGCTGGAGAGATGTGTCTGTGTCACTGCGTGGGTGAACAGCTCCTTTGTTTTTACTGCTGTGTACTCTTCAGGTACCATTTGTCCATTTCCTCTCAGAAGGATGTCTGAGTAGTTGATGGTAAATGGAGCTAAGGCACACTAAGGCTGTAAGGGTTTGTACCCAAGTGTGAGGTTCCTGGGCCAGTCACTTGGTGGATAGTTTATTTTTTTTGAAAGGTGCTGCTTTCCAGAGTGGTTGTGTCATTCATAAGCATGTCAGTTCCTCTTGGTTTTGTCAGCACCTAGTGTCACCTGTCTTTGGCTTTAGAGGTTCTTGTAGGCATGTGGTGCCTACAAGGATTTACATTTTCCTAATAATTGATGATGTTGAACATCTTTTCGTGTGATACCCCATCTGCAAATCTTTGCCAGTATATTAAAAATTGGGCCAGGTGCAGTGGTGCACTCCTATAATCCCAGTAGCTCTGCAGGCTAAGACAGGAGGATAGTGAGTTCAAAGCCAGCCTCAGCAGAAGGGAGGCACTGAGCAAATCAGTGAGACCCTGTCTCTAAATAAAATACAAAATAGGACTGGGGATGTGGCTCAGTGGTCGAGTGCCCCTGAGTTCAATCCCTCATACCAAAGGTGGGGTGTGTGTGTGTTATTTTACTGTTGAGTTTGAAAGTTCTTCATATATTCTGTATGCAGTCCTTTGTCAGGTGTGTGACAGATGCCTGTTTTTACAGGGTATCTCAACAGTGTATTTTAGAGAGCAAGTTATTTATTAAATTTACTTAAGCACAATTTACTGTCATTTTATGAATTATACTCTTGATGTCATAACTAGGAACAGTTTTCCTAAACCACATTTATGAAGATTTTTTCCTATGTTTTTTCTGAAAGTTTCGTAATTTTATGTTTTTCTATAATATCCTTTTGAATAAAAATTTCAAGATGTAGAGTAAAAATTGAGGTTCACTTTTGCATATGGAGATCCAGTTGTTCAAATACTCTTTTTAAAAAAAAAATATATATATTTTTTTTAGTTGTCAATGGACCTTTATTTTATTTATTTATTTGTGGTGCTGAGACTTGAACCCAGGGCCTCACACATGCTAGGCAAGTGCTCTACCACTGAGCCACAACCCCAGCCCTCCAAATACTCTTTTAATTTTTTCTCTCCTGAATTCTTTTTGTACCTTTGACCTTTGTTACAAGTCAGTCAAACATATTTACATGGTCTGTTTCTGGACTCTTCTGTTGCCCTGATCTGTGTCCTCTTTTGCCAGTGTCATGCTGACTGTGGTACTTGCCTCACACAGTGATAAGCCTTCACACAGCGTGATTCTCTCTCTTCTGGTCATTTTGCCTCCGGCTTTCTTTCATTTATCTGTCGTTTTATTTATATCATTATAGACTCATAGGTTGTTATTTTATTACTCTCATTTATTTTATTGCTCAAGTTGTGGAATTTCCCTATGGGAGAGAGGTCTCATTGTTCTCTGAATGTCTTCAGACTTTGTCACATAACAAAATATTGTAGGGTTTTCTAGTATTGCTCTCCTAGCCTTGTATAAACTACTTCTTCAAGGAGCACTGGTTTCTTTTATTGGAGAATGGTATTCAGAAACCACGTCTGGGAACTGATGTACTCTGTTTGTCATTCCTTCAAGACCCTCTTGTTGGATGGCTGTGGGAAATAAGTGCATACGTGCATGTATGCCACAGCTGTAGTTTAGTTGATCTGCAAACCAAGAATTCATACTGTTTTATCATCAGTTTGGCACCTTAGAATTTTTCTAAAATCCTTTCCATATTGTAACTCTTTTCCTCAACCTTAGTTATTTTGAGATTCATTTGTGTTCTCATGTTTATTGTTCCTTTTTATTGCTGAATTGTATGCCGTTCCATGGCTATGACACATTGTTGGAAACTGTCAGACCTTTTCCCCAAAATGGTACTTTTATTTCATACTCTCACCAGCAGCACGGAGTTCCAGTTCCGCCACATTCAGTATTTTCAATGTCTTAATGGATAATGTGAATGGCATCTCATGTGGCTCTAGTTTGCCTTTTCCTTAATGACTTGATGATTTTAAACAGCTTTTTGTTTATTTGCTAAATACTTGCCTCTGGTACCATGTTGCTGTGGTCTGAATGCAGTCTCTCCACTGCTCACACTACAGCCTAACTGCCATGTGTGGGAAGGGGGTCTCAGTAGGCTGCAGGGCTGCACCCTCGTAGGTAGATTCATTGCCTTAAAGAAAGGGTGCTTGGGAGTCAGCTTTTTCTGTTGTCTTAATTTTATTTTAAGATTATGTATACTATTAGTATTTTTCTGAAAGTCAGAACTATATAAAAAGGCAATCTTAAAGGTAGTCAACGCCATCTTTTTTTGGTCACGTTCCTGTCCCCTCATCCTTCACGCATTATCCCATCATCCATAAATTTACTTACCAGACTTTGTGCATTTCCCAACTCCCTATTTATAATGGGGAGGGGTGGCGTTTTTATATTTAGTTGTCTTTGCCTCCTTTTAAGTGAGGTCTGTAAGCTTAGTTATATTTTAGGGGCGATAATGTTAAGAATAGAAGAAAAAGGCCAGCACTGTGATCCCTGCCTCTCAGGAGACTGAGGCTTGATGATCCTGAAGTTCCTATAATAAGACTATATCTCAAAAAAATAGGAAAGGAAACAGGATCATGCTTTAAATGTCCTTGTTGTAATATATGACATTTGCTTGCAGTTAATCGAGTTATACCAGTGGTCAACTGGACACTTGACATACATTAATTTGTTGGCCTTTTGTTTTGTATCACAGATTTATAAGGATTTGAATACATTTTAGAAGCTGCTTTTTGGGTTAAAATTAAATATATATATATATACATATATATATATATATATATATATATATATATATATATGTATACACAATATCTTTATGTATTTTTATGTGTATTTTAATTTGTAGATTTTAAAAGTATGAATTTCTTTACTTTGGCTTGACAGTTTAAAGATTTCTAACCTGTGGTTTCTTAATCTTAATAAAGCTGTTAAAAGAGTATTTTAATTTTTTAGTTGTAGCTGGACATAATATCTCTATTTACTTATTTTTATGTGATGCTGAGGATCAAACCTTGGGCCTTGTACGTCCTGGTCGAGCACTCTACCACTGAGCCACAATCCCAGCCCTTGAAAGAGTCTTTGTACTAGGGTTGTTATGTCACTAAAAAGTCAATCTGGTAGAGAAGGGTGAGGGTATTGTGCACATGGAGAACTTGGGGGTAGATAGCTCCTTTCTGGGTATACCTGAGGACAGAGAGGGAAGGAGCGCTGGGTGCTCTGCCCTTTGTGCCCTGCTCTGTTTTGTCCTGCTGTGCTGTCTCCCCACCTAGCAGGTGGCAACAGCAATGATATTGGCCTCATAGGCACCTGTGTCCAGGAATTAAAAGTAGAGTGGGAAAGGATCTGGAGATAGAAGGCTTTAGCAGCCTGTCCCTTTCCCTGCTCTGTCAGCAAGTGTGTGGGTGCCCTAGGCAGCTTCAGGGAAAAGGGCCCCTGTCCTCACCACCTAGGCCTTAGAAGACCAGAGTGTTTATTACTTACTGCTTGCTACTGTATCTGCTAAATTATAATAAAAAAAAATTTTTTTTTCTTTCCACAAGCCAAACTGGCAAGGCGCAGTCAAGAACGGGATAATCTCGGCATGCTGGTCTGGTCGCCCAATCAGAATCTGTCAGAGGCAAAGTGTAAGTCTCAAAACCTTCCTTCCATGTCTGTGTGACCAGGGTCTTCTCTGCGTTAGGAGTTCCTGTGCATACTACATTCTCTAACGTTTTTAAGTAATTTGTAGATTTCGAAAGTATGAATTTCTTTACTTTGGCTTTATAGTTTAAAGATTTCTAACCTATGGTTTTTTAATCTTTATGTCCCCCACCCCACCCCCCAAATTCTGTGTAAGGTACTGTTGAAGTAAGTAAGAGAAATGGCTCCGAGTGGAAAGAAAATTATCATGCTGTATATTAACTCCCCAAGCTGGGGAGTTTATAGATTTATGAGGACAAAGAGTTACACAGGTCTTAATTTGGAAGATCACTAAGGGCAAATATGTATTATTAGAAAGAGGTCTTACTATTGAGCCTTGAACCTAGCTGGAAATAAAATTTTTGAATCGACTGTTAACTGTGTGAGATTTTTTTTTTTTAGTTGTAGCTGGACACAATATCTTTATTTTTTATGTGGTGCTGAGGTTTGCACCCAGTGCCTCATGTTCGAAGTGGGTGCTCTACCACTGAGCTCCAGCTCCAGCCTGGGTGAGATTTTTTTTTTTTTTCCAGGCAAATACTCTTGACTGGGTTTTCTTTGCCGGGAGAGGTAGAGTTTCTATAGCTGTTAATATTAGTTATATTTTCTATCCCCTCATAATGCCATGCCAGATTAATTTTTATATCTGCGATATTACCATAAGTCTTTGCCACATTCAAAGTCCTTATTTTCATCATAACTTGGAGACTGATTCTCCTTTTGAGAATTTTTTAGTGGATGTCCATGGATGGCATTTATGGGCCTTGTTAATTCTGAAATCATGTGCAGTGTTTTTTGATCTGATATACATTTTTATTCTGAAGCAAAGGACCTTGGATCCTCATATTGATCGCTGACAAAATAGGTTAGAAATAATTGTTCTGTAGTGTGGTAGGGCTTAGAAATCTATCAGTGACGATGTTCACAAGGAATCTCTTGAATCTTCAGTGAAGGCTGGAGCTCTTAGGCTTCGATTAGGATTCCCAAGTTATGTTTTGCAGTATTAAAATAGGTGTTAAGGGGCTGGGGTTGTGGTTCACCAGTAGAGCGCTCGCCTAGCACATGGAAGGCATTGGGTTTGATCCTCAGCACCACATAAAAAATAAATAAATAAAATAAAGATATTGTGTCCAACTACAACTAAAAAATAATATTTAAAAAAAGTAGGTATTAATGGGTTTCTAGTGCCAAGACAGTATGAGAAATGATGCATACATGCATATTCTGTATCTTCCTCTTGAATATTTAATATTCTTTTTTTAAAATTTTTTAATATTTATTTTTAGTTTTAGGTGGACACAATATCTTTATTTTTACGTGGTGCTGAGAATCAAACCCAGTGCCTCACGCATGCTAGGTGAGCACTCTACCACTTGAGCCACATCCCAAGCCCCTTGGATATTTAATATTCATGTAAGCATATTTAAGTTGTTAAGAGCTCCTATATAAAGAAGTGTGTTTTTTTTTAACTTTTTTTTTTTTTTAGTTGTAGATGGACACAATAATACCTTTATTTATCTTTATGTGGTGCTGAGGTTCGAACCCAGGGCCTCAAACATGCTAGGCAAGCGCTCTACCACTGAGCCACAACCCAGCCCAAGAAGTATGTTTAATTTTGACTCAGAGGGATCCCTTTTTGTATAGTGCCTTCCCTGGAACTTGGAAATTGAACTACTCGTAGTAATGTTGAACTTAATTAACATAATATTCTTCTTAGTCCAATGTGATTTTTTAAAATCCCCGCCCCCTCCAACTAGAGATTGAACCCAGAGGTGCTTAACCACTGAGCCACATCCCCAACCTTTTATTTTTTGAGACAGGGCCTCATTAAGGTGCTGAGGCTGGCCTCAGCCTCTGGGATTACAGGTATGTGCCACCTTGCCTGGCTCAAAAGAAGATCTTAATTTTATCACCATCAGGCTATTGTATGAATTTAGAAGAACAGAATAGCAGAGGAAGAGTATTGGCACTTCTGATGCCTTCGCCATGTTTGAGAAGACCTTTCTATGCATTTCCTGATTTTTTTTTCCCCTTCCCTTTGAGCATTTGTAGGGACTTAAAAAAGCCATCTATGCCATTTTTTAATGTATTATTCTCTCTTAAGGAGAGCTGAAAATCTACCTCCCTGTGTTGTAAAGCTTTGTTTGCTGGGCTGTGCTGAATAAGTCTACTTCACATGAGCCATCCTGACTTCTTTATGCTGAGTCCAAGTTAGACCCACCTAGTTGCTTTGAGTGCTTTTCAAGGTGGTTTGATTTTGGAGTCTCTTTTCATTTGTTGCCTTCCTGGACATATTCATTTGGTCATAATACCCATCTCCAGTTGTGTCCAAAACTGAATATTGAGGAGGGTGGGCATTTTGCTGAGCTTTATGTCAAGCACAACAAGTACTGAAATGCTGTCCATGCTCCCATAGCTTTCAGTCTCTACAGAGAACTTTTCCAGGGGAAAGTTCCTGTTCCCATTTTACAGCTCATCTTCCACAGAAGTGTGTAGAACCAACATGGATCCTATGTGATGGAACTCAGAGTGGTGTCCAGAGTTACTGGGCTCTAAACCTGTCTCTCAGACTGAGTCCTTCAAGTCTCAGGCTTCACTCCTGCCACCATCTGTCATTGCAGGCCAAGATTGTATTAGCATCTTTTGCCTATTTGTATTTTGTTCTCTGTTGGAATCTTTGGAGTCAGAATTTGATTTTTATATATATATATATGTATTTTTCTAGACCGATAAGAGAAGAGCAGAATATATAAATTTAATAGGTTTTTAAACTATGGTTATTGCCTAAGGTAAAGTTGCAGTTGTAGTTTAATCCCTGCTCAGAATTAGTTAAAGCTTTAAACCTTAATAAATAATCTAGGGCCGGGACTGTGTCTCAGTGGTAGTGCACTTGTCTGGCATGTGTGAGGCACTGGGTTTGATTCTCCGCACTGCATAGAAATAAATAAAATAAAGGTCTATGAACAACTAAAAAAGTATTTAAAAAAAAAAAAACAATCTAAAAGAATTCTTTTTGTGTGGTATTAAGGCTTGAACCCCCAGGGTGTTATATATGCTAGGTAACCACTTTACCACTTAGCTACATCTTCAGGTATTTTTAAATTTAATTTTTGAGACAGGATCTTCTTATATTGCTGAGATTGGCCTCAACTTGTGATCTTGCAAAATGCGAATACCCTTCCTCTGCTATTCTGCTCTTATAAACTCACAAAACAGCAGCCTGATGATGGATTTCTTTTTAAAAAATCCAGTTAGACCAAGGAGAGTATTGTATTTATAGCTTGAATTCCAGGCATGCACCGCTATAACATTTATATACTGTTAAAAGTTTGGAAGACAGAAAAGTGCAAAAAGAAAAATTAACCCATTTCCCCATCATCCCGAAATAAAACATTTTGGAGTGTTTCTTCCAGTCACTTTCCCCCTGCATATTTGTATAGATGAGATGGTGTGTGTGTGTGTGTGTGTGTGTGTGTGTGTGTGTGTGTGTGTGATTTTGAGCACTCCCACATTGTTCAAATGCCTTGTGAACATTTAAAATCACTGTAATAGTTCATTCTATGGATGAATCAGTGTGTTTAACCATTCCTCTACTGAAAATTTGGATTATTTTTAATTCATTGCTATTGTAAAGAAAGCCTGCAGTTAAAAACCGAGTCATAGACCTTTGCCCATTTTTTGTTTTTGTTTTTGTTTTTTCTTAAGTTGCATTTCTAGGAATGAATTGTGGATTGGAAGGAATTTGCTTCTCTATCCAAGTGTGAGGACGTGTGTGAGAACACAGTGGTATTCTTTCAAGTCAGTCAGGGTTCTCCAAGTAGGTTCCTACTTGTGGAATTTGGGAATTATGCCGTTGGCTAATAATCTAACCAAAGTTGGGCAATAAAATGTAATTTTGGTGTTAATGCAAATGAGGATACATAATTTATTCTCTATCATCTTTCCCTTGGTTCTTCACCTCTGTAATAGGCAACTTTTTACTCATACTTGTCTTTCTCCTTTATTTGAAAGGAATGTTAAGTGTTGATTGTCCATCATTGATTTGAACATTAGGTAGAATAGGGGATTGGGTCTTGGTTGGATTTTAGCAAATAGCAAGAAATTTTGCCTATAGATCCCTGGCTTTTCTCTGTTGGTTTCTTCTCAAAGCGGCTGTTGACATTCTGTCTCTTAGGATTACTTAAGATTATTACAAAAATTTTTAGTTAAAAACTTTTTGTTTATAAAAATAAATGGTCGGGCTGGGGTTGTGGTTTAGTGGTAGAACGTTCGCTTAGCATTGCAAAGCCCTGGGTTAGATCCTCAGCACCACATATAAATAAAGGGATTGTGTGCAACTACAACAAATAAACAAACAAACAAATAAATAAATAAATGGTACTGGGCTAGAGTTGAAGCTCAGTGGTAGAGCGCTTCTCTAATGTGTGTGAGGCACTGGGTTTAATTCTCAGCACCATATAAAAATAAATAAGGGCTGGGATTGTAGCTCAGCAGTAGAGCACTTGCCTAGCACACGTGAGGCATTGGGTTCAATCCTCAGCACCACATAAAAAATAAAGGTTATTGTGTCCAACTAAAACTTAAAAAAAAAAAAGGAACAAATATTAAAAAAAATATATTGTGTCCATCTACAACTAAAAATAAATATTAAAGAAACAGTACTGCAAAAAAATTTGAACAATATGTAACATGATGTAGATAGTGAAATCTCTTCCATAGCCACTGTTTACAATAAATATTCTTTTTCTAGCATTTTATGTATATTAATATAAAAAACTTTCATCACAAAGTATAAGCTGCTCACCAATTTGTTCCTCAAAAAGTATTTTGGACTTTGTCTCATCTTACCACATCTGCAGTTCCTTTTTGACTATAACAAATCCTTTTTGATTATTAGCTTGGGATGTAGCTCAAGTGGTAGCGTGCTCAGTTGGCATGCGTGAGG